ATATTGTAATTTGACACATCTGGGAGCTGAAAAAAAAAAAAATCAATTTCACACATTGATGCTAATAACTCAACAGCCCTGCAGACATCATCGTTATTGCTGATCTGCATTAACAAACAAAGTTGTGCGAGGCCTCATCGCCTTCTGCCTTGAAAGAGTTAACGTGTACCTCCACCTCAGCATTCATCATGTTTCTCAGTAACCAGATCATAGCTTCAATCAAAGGGAAGATGAGATAGTAGTCTATTAATCTCCCATATTAAGCAGATCCATTTGTGAAAGCAAACGGCCCGGAGAGGCCATCCTTTTCACTTGTTGTCTCTAAATCTGATTAGCAAGTATAACGACATGTTGCTGAGGGTCACAGGAGATATAGATTGGCTCTGCCTGCATCTCCACTCTCGCGCTGTGGCGCTCGTGGAATGAACAAATTCATTTTCAAGAACTCCTGGGGATTCCTGTTGTAGACACCTTGTATATTAGACGAGCACAATGAAGGGGGATGGGCGTCATCTGTAGTGTTTTCATTTGTGCAATACAGTTTTGTTTAGATGAAACTTATTTCATCTAAATACCCCAACTCCTAACACATTATAAATCTGAAACCAGATATTTGCATATTGCATAACAAGTCATCACTTTCTGAAAAATAAAGAATAAACTAGTTTACAAACACATTTGTACAACATTACTAGGCATTTTTTTTTAAAAATTAAAAGCCCAGATGATAATGTCCTTACTTTTGAAACGTGTAATTGATTGATTCACAAATTCCGAGTTACACAGAGGCAACAGGCAAAACATAAAGCACCCTGCTTCATTGTGTGACATTATGGGGAAAAATTGGCCTTGAAAAGCAATTAGCCAAAACATCTGGAAGAGAATTTTCACACTGAGCCAGAACTTACAGTTCACTGAAAGCATCATGTTTCTCATCAAACAATTATACGCAGGTATAAATGGCATTGAAATGTCCAACATCATGTAGTTCAAGAAGGAGACTGGTTCTTTACCCCTGAGATGAGGAGTCACTAGTTGTGTTTCCATCGACCATTTAAATTGTGCAAACTGGAATTATGAAAATAAATTTGACAGAAGGAGAAAAAAGATTTATACAGTGTATGTAGATACCTGGTTTCAACTGTGTACAGTATAAATTAAAAACAACAAAATGCTGTGCAGATGGGCCTTTGCTTAAGCCTCACACTTGTTAATCTTACAAAAGAAGACAGACATAAATGGAATATATGTACAATCTTTTCTGGACAGACCGACTGTCCAGCTGCTGGTCTAAATAAAAGAGCAGACGTTCTATTAGTTAATCTGAATGGCCTTGACCGTATTACCTCTCAAGCAATCAAGTATTTAGATTTTTTCAGGTAATGTCAATGAAATGGATAAAGCCTAAAAACTCTTTTTTTTTTTCTTCAAAAAGTTACCCAAGATATCTCAAATTCGCACAGTTCTCTGCTAAGTAGACAAAATGCTGAAGTATTCAATAAATTGGCATTTGTACTTGGTAACTACTACATTTAGTAGTAGGCTTATCTTTGCTTAAGCCTGTTTGTGAAAGCACAAATAATAAAACACTTTTTTAATAGCATTATTGTAACTGTAATAATCAGTATTTTAGAAGCATAAGAATAATTGTTACTTTTTTATTTTTAAATCAACTGCTTGAAACAGTTGAAACATAAAAAACTGTAGATCATTTGAAATTAATTTTCTGAACACTTCTAATGTTGACATTACCTTATTTGGAGCAGCATGACAGAAATAACGACCTATTAAAAAAAAAATAAGGTAAAGGTGACAAACATTAATGATTTTATTAAAGTTCTTCTGTTTTTGTGGAGCTTTAATACTAATTTCCTCATAAAGGCTGCCCATCTGTGGCTCTCTCAGAGGTCAGAGTAAAGTAAACATAATACTGAAGAATACAAAGATGATGTCACTGGGCTTTTTTTAGCCTTTGCACTTCAATACATTCTGGAGGAGAGTTTGCAGCAGCGTTCTGTCAGATATCTGGTTTCGCTCTGTGACTTGGCTGGGGCAATGAAGAGAAGAGAAGGAATATCAGGTTCCAGCTGGGAGCAGTGAGCATTGGGACAGATCTATTTACTTGGGGAAGGCAATTGATTGGGAGGAAAGGTGGTGAGGAGAGAAAGGAAGAAGAGCGGCGGAGGGGGCAAGGAGAGGAGGGTCGGGACATTATTGATCATGTGACTGCTCCTGCCATAACCTCCAATACGCTTTTGTGCTTTTATTGCACCTCCTTGCCAAATAAGACTGTTTCTTGTAAAAACAGGACAGAAAAACAACACAGGCTCGATGAATCGTTAACAGTCGCTTCGCCCATTATGATCAATTTTTTCCCCCGTTTTCATTAACATTTCGGCCTCAACAAAAGGTTATATCGCGTAGCGTGTCTGTACGAACAGGACCTGTCGATAATATCTATGCTTAAGATCATTTTAACGCAGAGCCGTCAAAAACAGCTGTCTCCTTGGGATGATTACCGACAGACGACATGTAAAAGCTTCTTGTTCAGTATTTAAGGGAAATTAAAAAACCTTTACCCTTTACACTGGCCTGTAAATATACTTCAGTTCTTTGCTGCCTTCGCTTGAAACAATAGGAGCACACAGTGCTAGGCCACATAAAAGCAGAGCAACACGAGCGCCGCCATCATGTGCATTGCACCTGTCAATGGGAAATAGCCAGTGAGATGGTGAGCTATGTAGTGCTTTCTGCATGGCATCCACTTTGTGTTGGATAGAGCGCATTAATTATTAACCGGCAGGAGTTGAAGCCATTATAAGAGAAAAACAGCGCCCTGCATCTGGACGCCTTCCTGATGCCCGTGTGTCAAACTCACGCCTTGGCCTGCTGCGCTCGCCCGGCCGCAGCCAGGCCTGCGTGTTACTACAAAAAGGTTTCTAACAGGTCAACTCAAGGTGGAGCAAAAAAAAAAAAAAAGTCTCTGCCGCAGGTTAATCACGTAAGATAGTCCGTCTGAAAACATTCAACTTAGCGGTAAGGAATCAATCTTTGCTCTTTATGTTTTACTCTTCTTTGTGTCTGTTGCGATTCAAGCTGAGAAGAAAACTGGCTGGGATGTGTTTTATAATCGAGGAGGGAAGTCTGGAGGTGAGCTGGGGCGGGGGGAAGTGGTTTGTCATTTTCAGTTCTCCCGTCCTCACCTCCACCTCGTCCCACCCAGATGGAGATTTTTCTGTTATTCACTCGGAGGTTATGGTTTTAGATTGAGGGCAAAGCCTGGGGACGGCTGTTTGTTTTGAAGGAATCCAATGTCAGTACAGCTGTAGCAGGACTAGGATTGTTTGCAGAGTTAATGGTAGTTTGATGATGTCATTCTCAGTGACCTGAAGAGAAATTGACCCCTGTTGTGTGACTGTTTCTAAAATGCCACCCTGCGCAATTATGGTTGGAGTGTCCCTGGGCTGTTGTATGTACGGTTTGTTTTATCTGAGACAGACCGCACACGTAAACACACACACACACGCACACACACGCATGAACACACAGGATATATACTTGCAGGTTGGTTTGCCGAAGCATACCTCCACATCTTGTGAAAGCGTATTTGTTGAATGTCAGCAGAAATTTTGTTTGTCGTGTTGAGTGTGAAATAATTTATTCATCTGGAGTGACTTGGAGCAGTTCGCCCTGAACATCTCATAGATTATTTCAGGTATTGACTCTTCTAGATGAATTATTTTAAAATAAACCAGGAAAAGAAGTGTGCATTTACACATGCAGTCACACAAATAGAAAACCCTGATTTAGCGCACAAAGAGCGAGTAACAGAAGAATAAAATTGCTTTCTACAGTCGGCATGCTTAGTCATTCTGACGAGTCTTTTGAAGTAGATCATTTAAAACATCTCCTGCTGACTGATTGTGTTAACTTTTATTAGTTTAATTGTCTGCCGTTGCGCTGCTACGAGAGAAACATCGTCGCTGAAATATTATGAAGAGTTTAAGACAAAGGGAACAAAAGGGGGGAAAGCACAGAGAGCAAATCTCCAGAGAGATGTATAATTCATGCTCACAACCGAGATTGTTTGGATCTCAGCGAATAGCATTTCATGCTACAAGAGGATCACTGTATCTTTGCTGAGTCCCAGTCTCAGTGGTTTTCAGGTTTGGATAGTCAAGTAGTTGGATTTTGCTCTTTAGGCTTGAGGCACTCAGACTTATTCTCTGAATCTTCACTTGAGGCAAAAAAAAAATATATACACACACACACACACACACACACACACACACAGCGGATTGCTAGGGGTCTTGGCCTTAAGTGCCTTGCCCAGGTGTGATAGAGGAAGAACTTTTTGTTACTCTTTCGATTGAGCCAGTCCCCCTCTGTGCTGCATTATCATGCCTGTTCTGTCACTTCACCCAGCTTTCCTATGTCTTCAATCTTTCTGTAGATTATCTCTTTGTCATTTGATCAGTTTTCTGCTTAAAATTTTTCATTATCTTTTAAAGTGGTAATCAAATGCAGTGCTTTCCATTACCAGGCAGTTCATGATTAGTAAAATAAACTAGTAAAACTTACAGTAAAATGGAGATTGACTCTTTCATTTTTTTTATTTTTTTATTTTTTTTTGTTTGTTTGCTTAATATTTAAACTTCAATCCAGAAGTTTCTAGAGATAGAAACAATGCTTCTGTGGATAGTTTAAAGTTTTAAACCTTCTGTCATGAAGGGAGGTTATTTGAAGTAGTTTTGGTTCTAAACACAGCTAAACTATATTCTGGGACTGGTAAATTGTCCAGTGGGGAACCAAACACTGACCTATATGTTGGGGGGGGGAAAAAAAACAAAAACATCTGAACTTGCATCAGTGAGGTTCAGGTTATGCTTATATTGCAACTTTTCAGCAAGAAAACCTGCTGTAGACGCAAAAAAAGAAAAAAAAAGTTATAAATGAAGTCATCTTTTTTTGAACTCATCCAATCAATTCTTTGTTCACAGAGTGAGTGTCACAAAAAAAAAAGGCAGCCAAACAACAAAGCCATCTTTCACTCTGAAGACGACAGCCACCTCAGTGAGATGAAGCAGGTAATTTTTGTTTAAATGTTTTCAGTCATTAGTGTTTTTTTTTTTTCTTTGCTATATTTGCTGAGGTAAATGTTTTTAAAGTAGGTATTTACTGGATGTTTTATGTTGAGAACAAACTGTGAGGCATCGCTGTACTCGTCGCCGCGTCATAAATTATACAAAAAGAGGGTTCCCGTGCGTGTGAAATGGCTTTGTTCACAGTTTGTGTCACATCAGTGCATGTTTAACTAGGCAAAACAAAAGCTACTCAATATTTTAGTGCGCAGAGACTCACAGAATGAAGAGACGTTGCTGCACGGCTGTTCTGTCTCCTCCTGTCTTGTCCCTCCCGTCTGGTGTCCTGCCGTCTCGGGTTTGCAGAAAATCATTTTCTCAGTAACTAGTACTCCAACCCAGTGTCTTCATGTGGGAATAGTTTCTACCCAGCAAAAACCAACAAGAACAAGGACTCTGTTCTATTTTTGTTATATGGAATATAAGTAAAAATAAAAAAAGAATATGTTCAAGAAAAGAAATGTGTTAAAAGAATGAAAAAAAAGCACCACATTAAAAGAAAGACACTGATAGAATTAAAAATGTAAATCTAAAAAAAAAAAGAGACATGACAAAAATGGTCTTATAGATTTTTTAGCTTCATGGGAAGTCTGTAACAAAAACTATGTTTTCAGTCCTGAACTGAAAGAGTTCCTGCACAGAGAATATAATAGAAACATTATAGAAATTCAGATGCTTCGAGACATGAAGATGAAAAGAAGCATCATAAATTTATAAAAGAAACAAAATTAAGAATAATATCCCACACAGTAAGGACAATATTATAGCACAGAAATAATGTGCATTTATCAGAAATAGTAAATGCTCATAAAGTGCATGTTTATTTATGCATTAGGACGACAGACTATTTACAATAATAAATAAATAAATGAAAGCCGTGTAAACAGAGATTTGCAATGCCACCAGAAATGTTATTAAAATTAGTGAAACTGCAGATAACAGATTGGATGTAAACCTATTTATGCTTGTAACACATATTGAGTGTGTTGAAAGTTGGAGATGATTGTAAAGTCTAACAGCTGCTAGGAGGAAGGACCTTCTACTACGCTGCTTTGTGTACTTAGGATGCAGTAGGAAATCCAGAAGTAGTTCCAGAGCCTACGACCACAGAAACTAAATGAATGAACGGGGCTCTGTAATGACCTCAGAAGACTACATGGTTCATACCTCACAAGCAACTGAGATGTATTATAGGTCATCACAATTCATTACCTTATAGACAAGTAATGAGGTTTTTTTTTATCCTTTTCAAGAAACAGGAAGTCAAAATGAGCAGTGATTTAAGGATGCATGTGATATGATTCATTTTCCCGATGATGGGCAAGAATGTGGTTATTTTCTTAGAAATTACAATAATCAAACCTTTTAACCTGCTAAATACAAAAGATTCCCTGATTAGAGAGCCTTCATTCTGACTAATGTTTCTCAGATAACTGTATGCTGACAGGCATAATTACATTTGTGTCTATAACAACCGGTTTCTAGCATGCTGTGCAGTTTTTAGCTCCTTTTAGTCTAGTTGAATCCTCATCTCTAATCTTACCTTTTCTGGGACCAAAACAAAACCTTTTCAGCATTGAGCTAAACGAAATTCTTGCTGATCCACTAATAGATATCGTGGACACACTGACTCAGTGACTGTAGAGGACTAAGGTCATGTTGTGACCCATTTATAAAGCTTTGAGTTATTGGCATCAGTATAGTATGTAGTTTCTGTGGTGGATAGTGTGAGTTAGATGTAGTAATTGACATTAAAATAAAAGTGACTCATGAACGAAGCCTTGAGGAACCCCATATGTGGTATTTGTTTACCTTGATTTACACATGAGACAAAGTTTCCTAGTTTGCGAAGTAACACAGTTGTGTTACATCTAGCCTTTACCTTCTATGTTAATTGTTCCTTTGGCTCCCACCAGTGAGTTTTAATAAACTTAAACTTAAATTTATTAAAATGTATAACCTATGGCTGTGTACCTTTCCTCTGAAAGAAACCATTGTTATTATAAGGAAAATACAGAGTAATGGAAATGTTCTAATACCTTATCTTACAGGTGTAGGTCTTGTTAGCAGCAAGTCATTTTGCATTCTTTGCAGAGGTTGTTTGTTTATCTATTTATTTATATTTGCTGCTTGCTGTGATCCCATCATATTCAGTTTTCGCATCTGTTCAAAGGTCTTAGTATCTTTTTTTCTCTCTCTCGGGTCAACAGCAGAGAAGATCTTAACTGCTCCCTACAATCCACTTAGTGTCCTTGCACTCGGGTTTGTCTGATTAGGCGTTGGCTAATTAGGTCTGACTTGCCGGGCTTTTAAGTCACTCGCCATCTTCCACGAGGTCTGGTTAAAAGTTGATGGATGGATGAGACATTAAGCGTCAAGATGGAGAAACGGGACTGATGGGAGTTCATGGCATAAGAGGACACCATCGAGGTTGCTCAGCATTTTTGCCATTATCCTTTCTGTGGCTGTCAATTATTCAGCAGCTCATGTAAATGACTCTTGTGGTGGAACTTTGGAACATAACAAAGTTTCAAATAACTTTGTCGACAGCAAAGTAGAATCGGAATGACAAGCGATTTACACGTACATTTATAACACTCTGCATCACAGCAAACGCAAGAAACTCTCAAGATCTTGAGATCTCATCACTGGCCGAGTCTTTTCACCGTCCTAACACGGGAACGCCATAGCGATGGACGAATCCAGCAGAAATCACCAGATGGATAAGCACCCAAAGCAGACATGTGAACCGGTGTGGAGGAGGGGAAGAAAAGTCGAGTTGTCAGATATTAATCGAGACATTTTAACTTTGTCATGAGAACATTTGCGAGCTTTAAGGCACACTACTGATGTTTAGCCTGAGGGTGTGACAGACAGGAATGAATGTTGTGCTAAGCAAAGCGTTTGATCTCCAGCATCACGGGAACGCAGGTATCAGAGAGAAGCTCATACCTCTAACAGCTGTTCAGACTCTCTCACAGGATTTGTTTTTTTTTTTTCTTTTCTTTTCTTTTTTTTTTGATTTTGGAGCAAATGGGCAAAGATTTCACTTTGAAGAACTCTCTCTTCTTCAGATCTCCCTAAAAAGTCACGCATTGTTCAGTCAGCGCTGCTCTTTAAAACAAGATAAACACATTTAAGTCAACAGGCTAAACATCACTCTCCAAAGACGGGCGTAAGTGTGTGTTAATAGGCCTCACAACACAATTACATGGCTTCCACATAATGGCACTCAAATCAATGAATGGATTCTGCCCCCTACTGTCAATGAGGAACACTACATCTATAATCAATTAGCATGTATTCAATGAGGAAAGATTGCACAGTGAACAATATTAATAAAAACATTACCATAATTATATTATTATTACCGTATTCCGATTCTTTACTAGGAGTACAGTTTCTGTGCAGGACTCAAAAAGCCAGCAATGATAAATTTAACATAAGGCATTGAAATATTATGTGATTGTCCAATTCATATTTATTTGGAGATTTGATGTGCTTGCAAGGAAAAGATATAAACTGAGCTTCCGTTTCAAACTTACTTCATTTATTTAATAAATATAAGCTGGAATAAGAATCAGGCCTCAACCTTCACTCCCTGTAAATTGCAGTGAACACAGCAGCCTCTTCTGGACAAACGGTAAAACAAGCAGAAAATGAAATAAATCTTGCAAATCAAAATGAAGCTGCAGTAAAAACGATCCAGAGAAAATGTAAAGAAATAAAGAATTTGATTGAAGTCATGACGGTGGGACCGATGTTTTAAAAAAGTTTAAAAGTGAGTCCAGAGATTGCAGTCGTGGATTCTTTGAGACATATAGGAAACAAATCCCCAAATGTCTGGCATTGCATCCCAGAAGATAACTGGCCTGCAAATTGGATAAAAAAAAAAAAAAAAAAAAAAAAAAATCATAATATTGCCTGTTGAAGCGTTAAAAAGTAATCCATGATCAATGCATCTGATTAGTTCGCCTTGACAGCACATTGGTGAGCTAATCAGGCCAAAGGGATCAATGGAGCAGTGGACATGCTGCCTCTCATTGCTTCTGTCTTTGAATAACTACAATGTAAATGGCTGGGTACTAAAAGAAGCCGTACTGAGACGCGTGCTAAAACTCTGCTGCATTGTTCACATGGGAATCTGTGCTTACGCCACGCCAGTTTTTAATCAATGAAATGTGGAATTTATTACACATCCCTCTCTTACTCTATTATCATCATATCCATCAGACCTGCTTTTTCTTTTTTTTTTCTTTTTTTATCCATTTCCAGATCATTTTCTATAGACTATAAACTTCCCAGCCCTTGTGGCAAGTCGTTGTGGTACAATCCGTACTGCTGCCTCTGTTTGCCTCCCTCTTTCACTGAGCTCTACAAGACCAGCAGATGTTGTGCATTGTTCCTCTCAAAGAGAAACTAATTGCTACACAAAAGGTGCTGGCGTGTCCTGTCGAGTATCTTTGTAAATGTTTTACAGCCGCAGCTCTATTGCTAGTTAAGTGGCTAATTATAAAAGGAGAACAAAAGCGTCTAATTAGGAGTGAAGACGGGGAGGAGGAGAAGGAGGAGACTTTTTCCCCCCACACACTTTTCTTTTACTCAGGGCAGCTGATACAATCAACTGAACGTAAATTAAAGTTCCCTGGTTCTTCTAAAGAGCAGTCTGCTTGTCGTTGAACTGAAAAATGCTCTATAGGTTTTTTCCTCCATCTAAAGCTGAGATTTCCATTAAGTATTTGATATTAACCTTAACTTTGTCTTATAGAAATTCCTAAAAACCTTAATTTATGTAAAATAAAAGTGCTCACGGTCTTGTAATATTGTCTCCAGATCATAATGGCTAGTATAAAATATAGTTAAACATTAATTATTCTGTCTTCTGCATGCATGTTTATACAGCATTTTACAATTGTACTGAGAAGATGGAACATCATGACATTATGCTCTGATATATTTTTGGATTGTCCGCCCATTAGGTTAGATAAATATAATATTTATATATAAACCACAGTAAAAATAAAGTAAAAAAATACACAAAAACAGAAAAAAACACAATAGAACTCTCAGAAAATAAAATAAAAATACTAATAATATGACTTTCCTATTGTTCATTAAGCAGAGCTACGTATTTCAGTTCTTCATCAGGTAATTTGAACTCTTTTGTTGAAGACTGCATTATTTTATCATGTTTTGAAAAGCATGAAAAACCCTGCTCTGATGTGTGCCTGTGTGGATTCCTTGTTTTGGCCCCTGCACTTATAAAAATGAGTCCCCTGGCCTGATGACGTGGTCAAGCTTCAGTATGCATCAGAGTGCCTGTGTGAGCCTGTCTGTGAGAAAACAGAGAGCCCTTGACACTCTGTCTTGACAAAGTTGGGTAATTAACGACAGCGCCTATTAAAGGGAGAATATTCAGCCAGTGATAAATGGCTTTAATAACAGGTCTCTGTTCTTGCTAACAGAGACAGATCCCGCCGCCACCGTCAGCCTGCCCACTAGATAAAACTACCCAGACTCCCATCTCAGCACCCTCTTCATCTTGCCTTTTCCCATCGGCAGTCTTGCTTCTGGTCCGTTTCCTCTATTTCTCTCTCTCTCTCTCTCTCTCTAACTTTCAAATTTTTTCCTCTCAGAACCTCCATCTTTCCTTCAGACTGCTCTGTGTCTACTGCAACTTTTGTTTACCTTTTCGGGGACGAGTCCCGCCAAACGTCTTTAATAGATTCAAACTGTGAAATATCCTCGTAGAACAAACAGACTCAAGCCCATCAGCCTACCTGCACGCATGGCGCCGCGTGTTCGTGTTTGTTCATGTTTGTCTTGTAAAACATCGTTAGCCTCTTTGTGTAAGGGCCATGCAAATTGGACAGTTAAGAAGCGCTCGGACCGATTTATGTTCCAGCGCAGCGTTTTAACAGGCCTGCGCTACTGCTTTATGTGCCCTGGTGGGGTTTAGGGCAGGGCCTGACCACGGGGGTCATATTCATCACAGCCTCGTATTGTGAGATGGGTCCAGATGTCTGTGCTCATTAGAACAGCACTGAGAGATTTAGAAGACAGAAATGGGATTGAGTTAAACAGCCTCTTTTCCATCCACAGGCATGATGGTTTCATGGTGTCTCAGAAGGAGTGATCAGTATGTGCAAAATAAAAAAAAAAATTAAAAAAAAACATGTACGTAAAATTTAAGATCACGTATCCTGGTGAACTAATTTTCAAACGGACAAGTCAAGTGCAGCATTGTCACTGATGATGCTTCCTGTTACCCTCCTTAGTTTTGTTGACCTGCAAGTCTTGCACTGAATTCTGTTTGCAAACAGCTTTTCCTGGAAACCCATCTCCGGATGTGGAAAAAAAAAAGACTGAGCCCGTTTTGTTGTAATTTTATCAGATTTTTCACTGCAAAACACATGCAGCTGGAGAAATAATAATCTTTATGTACTGTGAAAAATACCTCTTCGCAATAGGTCTGTGTAACAAGAGCAATGTGTGTTTTTAAAGACGGTTATCACATAGAAGCCAAAAATATTTTTGAGGTGGCATGTCAAACCCAAAAGATTATTTGTGTTTTATTAAGGAAGTAAGTTGCTAGTTCAGAACTTGAATTTTTAGGTTTTATTAAAAATCATATTTAAAAAAAAAAAACTAATGAAGCAACTTAATGATCTATTGATTTCAAGTACATGCAATCACACCCTGTAAAAAATCATCTTATAGATAGACAGACAGACCCACTTTGCATGAGGAGGGCCTTCCCCCTCCAGATTTTTGCTCTCTCTTGCAGGACCAAAAGCAGTGAGTCCATTAAATTCACATGAGAATCTAATTAGGGACCCCCACTAAGCAGCCGACTTGGAGGTAGCATTCATTGGGGAGCAGCTCTGCCAAGACCCTGACACCCAGAGAGCATGACCAAGGAGTCGCTCTGTGACTGACTTAGACCCCTGCTTCCTTGAAGTCACGGATATTCAGAGCTGATTGCTCTCATTAAACTTGTTATAGTGCTATAATTATAATAGTTTGCCTGCAAAAAAATTGATGACTGAGTGTGTGGTTACTCTGCGCACGACAACTTTGGGTGACCTTCTAATGGGTGTTTCAGCTTTGTGGACGTACACTCTGGCAAACAGAAAACTACACACCACACCAATTGTAGGCGTGTACACATTTGAAGCATGACTATAACAAGAGGTCAATTTGTTCATTTATTCTGAATCCAAGAAGGAAAAGCGACATGGCTGGATCTTGTGTTATAATTAGGTGGATAATAGCAGTGAGTGAATTATTGCGCTCTTGTTATTTGAGTCTGTCCTCTGCTGCTCGTCAGATGAGACATCCATGTGACCATAATTCTTATTCTGGCAGCAGCACAGTGACTGATATTGTTTAAATTACACCTCCTTGGGCAAAGCATTTGGAAATGCTTTGCAGATGGGAATTCATCACAAAATGTCAAGGAGAAAATGAGGGGCATCAGAGCTTGATTGCTCTAGCAAAAAAAAAAAAAAAAAGTGTTATTTTCTAAAAGGAAGTGAATGATGTTATTGGAAACAGTCATCACACAAGAAAGACAGTAAAAAAAGGAATATGTTATGCGTAAAAGATGACTCAAAGCGAGCTTATGGTGGATGTTATCCGACTGGCAAACGGAAAATGAAAACTGACTTCTATCAAGTAAGGAGAGTAAATGTAATCTAATGTAAAATGTTTTCAGATCCTTTAAGTTCTTTCTCCTTTCTCACGTTTCAACTGTCGTGACAATTTCGACCCAAAGCAAGTTTTGACTGCTCTGTCTTAACCAATAATGTGAACACGTATTTAAGAGCATTTTCTTTTCAGTTGTGTTCAGGATTTGTTAAAATTATATCTAATTAAATGTATAAAAGTGAGAAACATGTTAAAAAAAAAAGGTGTAAAACCAAAAAAGTGAGCAAAAGGCAATCAATAACACAGGCCCTGAAGCACAACACAGTGTTTAGGGCCAGAGGACAGTTGTTATAACAAATTCTTCATTACAGATTTAAACTATTAAATTTAAACTTAAGTGGGAATTTGTCTTGTGAGGAGGAGGAGAAAGTTTTGAGAAAATATTGCCTGACAGCACTAGCTTGGACCCCACATAGAGATTTGATGTGCTGTAGTTCACTGTGGTGGAGAAAAAGCACAAAAACTGTGACAAAAGCTGCCATTCAAAACACAGAAAGTTTACCTCCACTGAGTTTCCTCCCCTTATCTTGCATAGATTATTTTTTCATAGATGCTATTTCACCATAATCCAGTTAAGAACAGCTATAGAAAGTGGCAGAAAAGCACAGTGTTGGACATAAAGCAAATAATTGCTCCTGGAAAAAAAATATTTATTGAGTTTGAGATTGAGCTCAACCAATATTTTTTTTTTCCTCTTTTTTTCAGTGTTCATTGTTAACCTCATCTATTTATGTTGTGCACTGCTGTGTTTTGTTACTTAAAGATTAAACTGTTTTCCCTTTTTTATTTTTTTTTTTTTTTTTTTTTTTTTCAATCAGACTGTGTCCGTAAACAATAGAGCGGTCCCCGACGTGGAATGGGATACTCCTTTGGGAAGTCATTTGTCACCATTTCCCAGTAAGTTAAAGGTATCAGTGTCAATTTACCCACATACTGTATGTTCTATAAACAGCTGCAAAAAATGTCAAAATAAACTGGATTTTTTTTATGTTTCTTAAGGAAAGAATAAGAGCAGTGACAAACACAATACAGTAGAATACACTGACATTACGAATACACCATAGTGATTGATAACATACTATATAGCAAGTTCTTATTTGTGCCTTTAATGCTGGGAAAAATAAATAGTTTTGAGTGTAGATTCTCACAGCAGCTTTGTTCTGTTGGGTGTCCATGGATCATTTCTGTTTAAAGGGACAGCCTAATCACAGTTTCTCCATCACAAAAACAAATTGTGAAACAGCAGTTCCCGTACACATTAAGAATTCATCCAATGTCTAGTCTTTTATCCCAATCACTTCCAAAAACAAAAGAGATTGACGTAATTTAGCTTCAATTCGAGCTGCTTGACGAACACTGCTCTAAAGCCCTACTGCTCTCATTCTTGCCTCTCTCCTTTGCCGTGACGGCTTTGGCCTTTAAGCTTAGCACTGTTATCACAGGAGCTTCACATTTTAACAGGCACTTCATTGCCATCATCTTGCCGAGTGCTCTCCGTCACAATGACCGACAGCTGTTTTGACACATTTTGCCGCAGACACGAGGTTGCAGGCCTCACTTCCAATAACGCAACACGAAAGAATGTCAGAGACTCCATTTAACTTTATTAGTTTTAAAGCCAGTGGCTACAGCTTTTCTTTATGGCCTACTTTCTTGAGCACCTTACAGTGAGATACTGCTGTCTAAACTGTATTATATGTTATAAACTTCCACAAGTACACCGCACCGGCTATATGGGAATATAAAGCACACATTCACTTTTTATGGCACGCGATTCAATGGGAAATCTTGTGTTGATAGTGTTCTATGGGCTATTGTGGGCTTCCACAAATGGGTCTTGGTGAAATATCCGTCCGTCTCTTACACAATCAGCGTCTCGTGCTCAACTTTGAAATGACAGTATTTTGTACACATGCCTCTGTTGCAGAGCAACACCTCATAATAACTGAACTGTAACCCCACATTTCCGGTTAATAAGATGTGATTCTGCGCCTTTAAGTTTCTAATGCTGTTTACAACCATAATGTACCTGAATTCAATGTGAAATGATAGAATTCAGATTTTCTTTTTATTAACAAAAATCGTTCACTGGTGGAACGGTAGGGCCATATGACTGGATGGTGTATATTTTTGACAATAATCTTATTCCTCTGGTCCTTTACGCATTTTATAATTCTGTGTCAACCTGACGAGAGTGTCTCAGTATCGCCCACTGACCCCTAAAGACCTCTGCAATAGTCAGAAACCAAGGCAAAACTGGACTATGAAATATAATCCCTTTAAAACAATCACAACAAAATACTACAAAGCGGACTTTATCCAATTTCAGCCACGCATTAAACATTTTTGCAGCGACTGGAACTCGGTTTCCGAAAGTGCCCAAAATGAATTACATTATGGATTATCATGTAATTATGGATCTTTCCAAAGACTGATAGGGCCGGAAAATTGAGTTCTGAATATTTCATAATGTACGGCACCATCTTTGTAGAGGAAATTATTTAGGGATAGCACGCTCATTTGCAGAATGGATAAAGGTTCATTGCGAGTCACCAGAGTGCTGTAATTGGAAAGCTGCCGTGATTCAAAGGAATTACTCAAAGATGAGCATGTCTACTCAATAACTGCAAAATCAGTGTGCCGTTAATACTCAGTCACACGCCCCCCAAAAAATGCTGAAATGATGGCAAAACCTACTGTGCTGCTGCCGTGTGCTTGTTCTTTTAATTGTACCATAGATTGTGCAAATATGACACGTAAACAAATGTGATTAATGTGCATTTTGTGTCTTTTTCTACAGATGAGACCAGAGCCTTTCCATCATCGCCACTTCAAGCTTCTACACCACGCCTTAAAGTCATGTGATTTAAACCTGAACACTGAATGAAATAATTCACTCGGAGGAAACAGGTTACGTTTTTACAGCGATAATATCAACGGTAAAAACTGCGGACTAATTTAGTACATCATTTGACCCACTGTCGTCTGTTTAACAAATCTTAAAGATTAATAAATTGCACACTTCCTTGAACTGTTTGAAGTTCAGAAGAAGGATTTCCGTTGTGTCTGGAAAACATGAACAAACAGTTTTGAGAAATGTCTTCTTTAAAAGGCGAATCCAAATGTCAGAGAGACAGATACACAGAGAGCACTGCCTTCTGGGCGTCGAGCAGAAAAAACTTCAGAATAATGTTTTTTCCCAGTTGGAGCGAACTGCAATTACCCATCATCAAACATACAAAGCAGAGTGTTTGCACTCTCATAGCCTGGAGAGGAACATGGTCACTGTTTGCAAAATCACACAAAGGAGACTCAGGAAAAGCAATGTAGGAGTGTTATTGAGATCAGATTTACTGAATTTATGTCGCTGTGATTAGTCGGATAATAAAATCCACTGACAACTTATTTATAAACTACTGTGTATAAAGGAGTAGTTCCAAATTCTGAGGTTAAATTTGGTAAACATTATGTTGGAAGTGACACAAAGTGAGATATGAACGTTTTTTTTTTTCATCTTTATGCATTTTTTTAGACAAAGAATGGCTCAAAAGTAACATGAATAAAATGAAACATTTCATGCTGTTATATTTATGTTTTATCTGATTCATGACACAACAGAGGAATATGTGCAACGCTGTAATTAAACAAGAGGGAAAATATTGAGATTATTTTTTTAGGTTCATGAAAATACTGACATAAACTTTTTATTCCCAGCTTCTCTAAGAAGTCGACATAAAGGCTGAACTTTAGCCGGTGCCGTAGCACAGAGCTGCACCCTGCTTGACTGTTTTGTCAGCTTTTTTTTTAAATTTTTTTTATGAAAAACGGGTTCACAAATCCAATATTTTATAAGCCCATGTAACTTTGAAGTGTTTTAATTCATTGGACTTTTGTGTATGCAACCAACAAACAATTTGAAAACATTCATATCATAGCACCACCTTTAATTTAACCCTTGATTGTAAGCATGTTAAACTCAACAGCAGTGAGCCTCAAGTGCACGCTGCATACCTACTTATTTGTTTTTGACATTTTTCTTTTAATGTCTTACGTTGCCACGTACAGGAGGCCTGGCTAAATGCTGACTGTGTTCTTGATAAACATTTTTGAAAGGACAAATAAATAAATTATTTTAGAAAAACTCTCCAGAAAGGAGTTTGTGTGCCTAGACATTGATGCTTCAGTCTTGAGCTGTGAAACAAGTCTGAATGTTTGTACCTGTTTTTAAAATATAAATGTAAAATGTCATGTCTGAGTATTGGTAAATGACACATCAGAATAGCTATCACTGCTGGTGTGACAATGTTTCAGTTGGTTTATTTATTGGTTTTTAATCTTTCTGTATTACCTGTATTTGAGAGCCTCATATTTTTCTGCATTTTTTTTAAGTACTGGTCAGCAAGGATTCAAATTTAAAAAGTTCTAATGTTCACAGCTCTTTCCATATAAGTCTGAGCACTAATCTGGAATAACAAATGAGTTCAATATTGCACCAGTGATAATGTTTGTTTTTGTTGTTTTTTTCCTAACTTGTGAAACAGTGATCTCATCTGGATTTACATCACAGCCGTCTGTCTGTAGTTTCATAAAGTACTTGTCATGACTTTTTATGTTTGTCCTTCATAAAAGTAATGCAGTTTAGGAAATATGATGCATCTTTGAATAATTCGCCATTTAAGGGACTTTGCACTGTGCACACTTATTTCTTTTGTTAGCTGGAAGTAAACAAGTTAATCTGCTTAAAATTTGTTAGATCACTTTATGAATAAATGATGAAAATCCTGTATATTTATCCTGAATCAGTTGGAAAGGGTTCAATCTGAATTCGGAGGCCATTTCTCTGGAAAAGGGCAAATCTCTGGGCTTGACGTATCAAAGAAATTGCACAGCATCGTAAATCGCATGCGAGTGTTGATATAGGTTCACTTGTGTTTGGGTGAGTTTTTCGACTCCGCTACTAGCAGGGGCTCGCAGCTCTCACCCTGAAGACCACAGAGATGAAGCAGGTTTAACAGCAAGCCCTGTTTGGCTTTACGTTTTACGCGCCCGGTGAACGTCAGTCTCATGAATAATCAAAACAAGATCAAAGTTTTCGTTGGACCACAGTTTGTTTTGAAGTTTGTTTGTAGGAAACGACTTCCCGGTACTTCTCAGCGGGATTCAGGCAAAGTGGGTGATTCAATCAGTCCGTCAGTGCAGGTAAGTTGTTTATAGGAAAGCAGAAAATGTGAAATGTAAAAAAAAATAAAAAAAAAACAGAAAGAAACTAAAGCACAGTAAGTGGAATTACAGTTGAAGTAAAGACAGGAGTGAAGGTGATGAAATTAAGACTCGACTTTGCACTTTGTGTTCCTGCTGCCCCAGCTCATCTTCATCACCGTGTAGGACCTCAACAGGACGGACTAATCTTAGCTCCTCACCTCGAGGCCACTTTCAACCTACAGGGTTTTCAGGTGTCTCGTCAGTCCAGCAGAGAACCATCCGGGATGTTCTCTTAACATGCAAATGAGACGAGAACAAATGTCCCTGTCACTTGTGGGGCTCCTTGTCCCAAAGTGTTTAACACTCCTCCTCTTAACCCTCCCTGCCCTAGCAGCTTCAAAAAAAAACCCTTCTGTACCTCATTCACTCTTTTTTTTTCCTCCCTTCCCTCTTATGTTCTCTAAATGAGCTCTCCAACTCCACTTCTTTCTCACAATTCAATTTTACAAGGCCATTATCCCGGGTGTAATGTGGAGGTTAAATATATCGGGGCAGACATTATGTGAAAATAATTAGTGCTAATGAATAATGCACTCATTCAGCTGATGAAGGATGGTTGTCAGGGTAATAGACTGGGAGGGAGGGGCCTCTATGACAAATGAAATTAAAATATTTAAGTACTGTTTTATGGTCTTGCGAGGCCCTCACACTCTTTTTTTTTTTTGTCTTTTGCTCTCCACATGGAGCAACCCTGCCTCTGAAATGTGAGCCAGTAGTTGTGCCATAACCCATCTGCAACTTCTGCTTCACCAAAGATATTTTACAGTACTTTACTCTGCACCATCCCTGCTCCCATAATCACTTTGAGTGCAGCATGTGCACAGATCTTACTGACAGCCATTGTCTGGCTCCTCGATTATATTTCGCTTCTTTTATTTAGAACCGCTGCACTCATTCGGCCTTTAACTGTTTCATTCTGCAGCCATAATGTGACAATGAAGGATGCAGGTTCTAAATTGCCCAGTTTACAGCACCCTTCCAGCCAATTGGCCTCCCTAAGATCAATAATGGCAAACCAAGCACTCTGTGACTGATAAATGGTAATGCATCGACACCGTTTCATTAGGAATGATGGTTGGAGGAGGAGGGCAAGAGGAAGTGCCTTTGACAGGAGCAGAAATCCCCACAACCAAAAGTACAGTGTTTTCTTTTTTGCTATAAAGAAAACTGTTTGACCTAATGAGATTTAAAACTGGTAAAATGCCAAAATGTGACTGTGAAGCCACTGGAGATGATGTCGCAAAGCCCCTGATGCTGTGGTTTAATCAACATAAGGTGTGAGTAAAGAAATAAAAGCAAAAGGTCCTTTTATGGATTCTGTCCATCTTCTTGCTCTGATAATGTCACTTATATCTTCTGGTTGCAGTTTTGTAGAGTTTTATTCCATCAACTCTTTCTAGTGAGTGATAAAAACATAATTTAACAAGCTCCTGTTGCTATTTTGCTCTCTCTTTGTGCTGCATATGTTTTGTACTTTGGCTTACACCAACATAAAGCAGTCATGTGAACAGTGGAGAGAAATTTTGGATGGGCACCTATAAACATTACGGGAGCAGAGTGTGAAATTAGATCCATGAAAAGTAAAATATGAAGTTTTAATTTGGCTTGAACATCACATTCTTTGATAATAACACAGCACCTGTATGAATAACCCTTACAAGACTCACAGTCAGAGCTACACTGGGATGGTTTAGGTCAGTGGTCTCAAACTGCAGTCACATGCATGCACAGGAAGAACAAGCAAACCTCATTCAGAAAAACCCTGGCATTTATTCAAACCAAGGACTTTGTTGTAAGGTTGTAAAATTTGTCCTTATCCTGCTGGGTAACGGTGGGGTTGCATGTCTCCAGTAGTCATTGGGTGACAGGTGGAGTACACCCTCGACAGATCGCCACTGTATTGCAGGGCAACTTTCAGACTAGGACTTGAATCCATTACCTTCTTGCTGCAAGTCAACAGAGTCACCAACTCTACAGACTCGCAACTTTTACACGACATCTGCAGGGAGACATTCAAATTGGATTGGAGATTATTGCAAATGCCTTTAAACTTGAACTAAGTTCAGTTTTCACAGGACAATGGCAAACTGTTCACACACACACACACACACAAAAAAAAAAAAAACCGCCATAAAGAGCTAAAGAGTGCTTTTCTTTCCCTGAGGCTCAGCAGAAACCATCGCACTCACGCAAGCCTTACTACCTTCTTTTATTAATCTCATATTTTCTAGATTGGTGCCTCGTACATTTGACTTGCAAAACAGACCTAATTATCGTGGGCCAGCAGTGTACAAGCCACACATCAAACAGTAAGTTACAGTACAGTAAAAGCTTGTGTGATCCCAATCACATCCCCTCTCCCTTTTCCTGTCCTCCCCTTGCTGGCACGCGCCAGAAACACTGATTATAACAGGAACATTATGTGGGAATTACAGCGAAACAATTTACACTTAATGTAGCAAGTCGTATGAACAGGGAGGAGAGATGGACAAAGATATAGCTGTATCAATAATGCATGCTTTAATTAAGCAGCTGGGAATGCACAGAGCACGATCAAGGCATGGGGAAAGACGGACAATGAAAGAATAGTCGGAGAAGGAGTTGGGAGAAAGAAAAGGAAAAGGAACTAAGAATAAAAGCGAGTGACAGAGAAAATGTAAAACGGAGCAGAGGGTGAGGAGACGAGAAGGAGGATGAGGAGGAGGGAGAAAGATCAGAATATGTTTCTGTGGGCTTGTCGCGCGCACCGTGATTCATGGGCAGTAAATATGCAAAGCCTGATGGCCATAAGGCAATCAGAGGAGCTCCACTCATCTACATGTTGCATAGTGGGCCATAATCCATCTGAGGGGCAAGGAATAATGATACCAGGAAGCAGGAATAAGAGCAGGGTCTGTTTATTACCTCAGACGGATCCATAATGCATACAGATGTGCAGAAGGCACAGCAGCCTGCAGCCAGAGGACTCTATTGAGAAGAAAAGACAGTAATATTGTTTTTAGTGTAATGAAAGGCAATCTGATTTAAGCACCTATTAAGGCAAATAAGTCTGCTGTCATATAAAGTTTTAAAATAAGCACTGGAGCTATGGCCATGAAAGATTGGACAATAGTTGCATTAAAAGAGAGGGAAGAGCTCACCGATAAATAATACGGGCGCTGCATGTGAAATCAGGCTCATGAAAAGTAAAATGCGAAGTTTTAATTTGGTCCAGAAACACATCACCTGTATGAATAAAACCCACGTGGCGAAATAAAGGCCTCACTTCTCGCCGTCATTGTGTTTACTCTTGCTTATTTGCAAAGCAACACAGGCTTACCACCCATGCCCCCCTGATCCCCACCAACCCCCTCGCAAGGCGACATCAGCACAGGGATTTTTCTAGTGCCTGAGTAAGTAATAAATTGTGTTGAACATTGATAAACTAATGCAATTACCTGCAGGGCAAGAGAGTCAGCTAATTTAAAGATACCAGGTTTGTTCATGTGGTGGGAGGCTCCTGAATAGGACCCCAGGGTGAGAGATGGCGCCTTTATTACATTTGAGAGGTCAGCGTGGTAGCACTGTATTAGGATTGATCTTTTGATCCCTGCTTGGAACGCCCCCTATACACATTCACACGCGCATAAACACGCACACACTCACTGTAGCACCCCATCTGGTCTGTGAAAACAATAACAATAACAAAAAAAAAAAAAAAACAGCTTATCTGGCGTAAAGGGTTAACTCTGCCAGGCAGGCAGCCTAATTGAGCACCACACATCTCAGCTACACAGCAGAAACAGCAACCTGGAGGGTTGTAACAAGCCAGGCGTGACTTATTCACATAATAAACCAAGCAGATATCTAAATGAGCCATTGAGCTAGCCAAAGGGAGAGAGGCCATTAGGCGGCCCGGACCATGGGTACATATTTGTATATCTACAATTGCCCTATCATTTGCATAAGGGGCTGCCTACAGAAATGTTAGATGGTTCTCATACTCCGGGGTCCTGTGACACAACAGAATACCTCTACACTTATTCTAGGAATAATAAACAACTCTGTCATGTTTATTTTTCTTCAAAAGCAACAACTAAAATGATGCTGGCTGATTTTCAGTATTTTACAGAGGTAAAAATATTGTCATTTTTGTGGATTTTGTATTGTTCAGAACAAACAGAGAGCCTGTTTTTTTTATTCTTGTCTCGTATGACCTCACCTGTACACCTAAGCTGTTGTACAATAAAAAAATAAATAAAAAATGAAGCATTGTAAAGCTCAATAAATGAAAGGCGACTTTTAGAGATACTATCTGACCTGCTGAGAGGAGATGAGACACAGTGGTGGGAAAAAGGTCCG